TATTAGGGGCTCCTGGCCATACTACTAGGAACAAGAAGCTACTAGGGGCTCCTGGCCTCACTAGTAGGAACAAGAAGCTATTAGGGGCTCCTGGTCTTACTACTGGGAACAAGAAGCTATTAGGGCCATTGCTATTAGGTTGGAGGCCATCGCCAATGGAAAGATGAGTACCGAAGTTGCCACTCTGAGCCCTGATCCGACCTGGTTGCCCACCAGACTTCGCTAGAAGGCGTTCCTTCTCAGTTTTCTGGCAACTTCGCTGTGCACTTTCGCAACTTTTGCCTCTGCACCCGCAGGGTGCAGGTACTTGTGGCTTTGGATGGTCCCATATATCAACCGTAACCAATAGTATGGTCATAAACACCGGCACACGCCGCTTTGTGGGTCTCTCAGAGGGTCTCAATAAACTGACGTGGCAGCGGCCACTCACGTCTCGCGCCTTCGTTTCAGTCACATGGAACTTTCGCGCCTTTGAGGTAGTCACTCTAGTCAGACAAAGACTTTCTATGACTTTCCTGCAAATTGTTTAAATCTTGTTTGGACGGGGTTTCAACGTGGAGCGAAGCGGCACGAGAATATGAGAGCAGGGAGCTGGGTGGGAGCCGAGCCGTTATTTTGTTTGTCAAGAACTTTGACATATGCTTTGATTAACGTTAACTTGATTCGGTTCAATGAACATTATTGAAACTGACTTGTGCAAGACTGAGATATCGTCCACGCGCTGCCGCATGAGCGGAGGTCACCTGTCGCTCCTACGACAGGCTGCGCAGGCTGCGCAGGCGCCACCAATGCCATCCTCATCGCAGGAGAGTGCACAGTCCATAAAACTGGACCGAGGATGAGTCAATGAGAACACGTTGAGCACAAAGCGTCAAGTCGAAGATTTCAAGTCGTGGTTTTATGATGCAAGTTGAAGGAAGAATGGGTGGCACCAACCTTTATTGAATGATTCTGAATGTCGGTTCTTCTACTAGTAATTACAATTCTAATTAAATTCTTATTGTTACTAGTAGTAAGGCACTTGTTTCTAATAGCA